AAACTGGCACGGGGAACCTTAAGCGATTCCGATTGATTGTCCTCCGTCGGTGGGGATAGTTCGCCATATAATTGAGGATAGCGTTTGTCAGAGAATGGACATTTGCATGAAAGGCGTCTCGGGCATTCCGAAAAAAGAGACGTGACGGAGGTGACCGCCTTCGAAAGACGAACGAAAGAGTGAACTTCCGCACCGGCGGGGACTCGGGCTCGGGGAGCGGGACGCTCTTGGGGTAGAACTCAGTCAGGTAGCCGCCGCGGACGGTGTGGTACTTGTTTTTGTCGCGGGCGGCGCGCTTCTCGCACACCTCCTTCCAGTCCGAGAGGGCGGACTCGTAGGTGGCGATTCCATAGCTGCGGCGATGGCGGGGTACTTGGACGCACCTCCCTCGTCGAGGGCGAAGTCGGGGTTGTGGGCGACGAGGGTGCGCCAGTTCTTGAGGAGCGACATGGAGAAGTCGCTGTCGGCTCGCGTGAAGGCGGTGTCGATGTTGCACCCGCCCATCTCGGTCGGCAGCTGCGCCTGGAGCCACGCGAGGTCGCGGAGCGCCTGGGGCGAGGCGTCGGCGCGAGCAATGCCCTCAAAGGACTTGCGGATGCGGTTGTGCGCAAACTCGAGAGCCTCGCACGCGACATTGGGCGGCGTGATGCCGGCAATGTACTTGGTCTTTGCGCAGGCAATCCGTTGGACGAGGTTGAGGCGGAGCTGCGAGGTGTTCGTGACGCAGTCAGTGTCGACGATCGTGTCGATGACGTCGAGCGGCGCGAGCTTCTTCCTGAGGTGCGCGGTGAGCTCCTTTTTGCAGACTTCAGGGTTGCCGAAGAAGGTGCCGACGGCCTTGAAGCAGTCCACTCGCCCCGTGGGTTTGCCCTCCTTGTCGCGGTGCGCGGGCGAGCCCCGGAGCCAGCCCGGCGCGCACGAGAGGTCGCCCTCGGGCGAGTAGATGAGCGACTTGCTGACGCCGTCGAAGACGCTCGCTCCCTTCTTCTGCGCCTCGAGGAGGCCCTTTGGTCCGGAGTAGGCGGCGACGGCGTGCGAGGGCTAGTCGTTCACGTTCTGGCAGATGTCGTCCGCAAAGCCGATGAGGTGTTGTTGTCTACTGGTGGCCATAGACCATAGTAGTGTCTGTCTCGTTTGCGAGATCTTCAAACGAATACTTTAAAGTCTCGACAATCACTAAGCCGTTCATGGTAGGAGGCAACCGATGCGAGTCGACTGGTGTGTGTCGTCGTGGTTTCGTATCAAGAATACTCACTCACTCACACGCTGCTTATGTGGCACCGCAGAGGCTCCCTTGGGGATGCCTGAGGCCACCCCAACCACTCACTAAGCCGTACGTAGACGAATTGTGCGCTGCTTTATTTTCGTTTACCTACACTAAGCGAGTACCCCCGGGGTTTCCCCCCGAAACTGGCATGGGGAACCTTAAGCGATTCCGATTGCCTGTCCTCCGTCGGTGGGGATAGTTCGCCATATAATTGAGGAGAGAGTTTGTCAGAGAATGGACATTTGCATGAACGGCGTCTCGGGCATTCCGAAAAAAAAGGCGCTGGGGAGGGTGATCGCCTTTGAGAGTTGCTTGCCCCCGCTTCCCACCGGCGCTCCCGCCTCCGGCTCTGCCTCTGCTGCCTCCCATCCCAGTCGCCCCACGTCCACATTCCCTAGCGCGCGCGCCCTGCGACGCAGCGCCGCCTTTACTGCTGCTGCCGCTGGCCTCGAGCCACAGCGCTCCCGAAAACCGCTACCCCCGCAACATATGCGGCCGCGTTCGCATCCCAGCCTACTCACGGTGTGCGCTCCCCTCGTGTGCAGAACACCGCGCATAAATGGGCTGCACCGCCGCGAAGATGGAGCACGCAGGGACGGACAACATCAACGGCGGGGCCGACATCGAGGTCGAGCCACGCGCGGAGATCCAGTCGCTCAAGGACGAGAACCAGGCGCTCAAGGACGAGAACCAGGCGCTCAAGGACAAGGTGCAGGCGCTCGAGGCGGAGAAGGCCACCACGTGCCCCGCCCCCCTCTCTCCCGGACCCTCCGCCACACCCTCGCCACCACGGGGGTCAGGCGCTCGAGGACAAGGTGCAGTCGCTCAAGGCGGGGTCGACGCCGGACGGCTCCGACAAGCTTGGCACTTCGCGCGACGTCAAGGCCCCCCCCCCCCCCCCCTCTCACCTCTACATATCCTCACCCCAACGGCCGACCCGCCCCCCGTGTAGGCCTTGAGGCGCTCATCGGGCCGCCGCTCATGGTGGGAGGGTCGCTCCTCAAGGCCATGGAGGAGGAGCACTGCAACAAGAAGGATGCGAACTTGCCGTTCGACACCTCCAACGGCATCAAGGGTTCGACCCCCCGGCTCGAGTGGGAGTTCGTCGTCGCGCCCGTGGTCGAGGACCCGGACGGCCGCTACGCAGAGCGTGGCGGCGACTTCCGGACGGTCCACCCCGAGTGGTGCCGCAAGGCGGAGCCGCTCTCGGTCTACGAGGCGAAGATGGCGGACGAGATGAACCCGAGGCTCGTTGAGGCGGGGCAGGCGCCGCTCATCACGGAGGAGCTCGTCGCCGGCCGGATGTACACGGGGCCGATGTACGAGAAGTACAACGCCGTCCTTCGCTTCAACTCAGCGCGCGATCGCGACGGCGCTGTGCTGCTGGAGTACGCCTCGATGGAGGAGGTGCCCTTTCTGCAGAAGAAGTGCGGCTGGCTTCACCTCGGCGAGTGGGCTGCGACGGCGGCGGGCAAAGGCGAGCCGGCCGCGGTGCGCTGGACGTGGAACAACAAGTACACGACCACCATCCACGCGATCAACTCGATCATCGTCAAGCTGTCGCCGCTGACCAAGATCACGCCGCTCTACCGCGGCTGGGCGGGCGCTACGCTCCCGGAAGGCTTCTTCACGCCGGACGCGCTCGGCTTCCGCGGCGGCGTCGAGTACGGCTTCTCGTCGACGACCACCGACCGCGCGCAGGCAGTGCACTACGCGGAGGGCAAGGCGTCGACGGTGCTCCAGCTCGTGATGGGCATGATGGACCGCGGCGCCGACATCACGTGGCTCTCGCAGTACCCACACGAGAAGGAGACGCTGCTGCCGCCGCTGATGGGCTTGCAGGTCCCCCTCCCTCCTTCAACCCCCCCTTTCCCTTTTTTCCTCTCTCATTTATCTCCTTTTCCCCCCTCA